CGTGTTCACAAGCATCAGGCAGTCGATGAGGAGACGGTGGTTGGCAGTAGTGAATGCGCGGGGCAGCCATACACGATATTGAAGTGAGAAATTTCGCATTTTTATTCTTGTGACTTGACATTCGGTATACCCATGTTTTGGAACGGCGGTGTAGCCTAATGGAACTGATTATGGCACTGTATCGAGTACATCACACAGATCTCAGCAATGAAATAATAACAATTTAACCATCTTACCATCTCTTCTTCTTTTATAGTGCCCTGAAGAAAGAATGTGAAGTTTCTTTTGTGACTCAGTATATATAAACAGCATAAGGTAATGTATATAAACACCATAAGGTAATGTATATAAGTAACATATGGTAATTTCTATTACACACCATAAAGTCTATAGGCAGCATAAGGTAATGTCCTTTAGTGACATGAGGTAATGTCTATAAACATCATAAGGTAATGTCCTTTAGTGACATAAGGTAATGTCTATAAACATCATAAGGTAATGTCCATAATTAGCATAAGGTAGTGTCTATAGGCAGCAGAAGGTTATGTCTATAAGTAACATAAGGTAATGTCTATAACATAAGGTAATGTCTATAAAGGAAATAAGGTAATATCTACAGGCAGCATAAGGTAATGTCTATAAACAGCATGAGGTAATGTCTATAAGTCAGGGTTAGGTTAATATCTATAGGCATCAGAAGGTAATGTCTATTAGTAACAGAAGTTAATGTCTATAAGAAGCAGAATAAGGTAATGTCTAAGAGAAGCACAAGGTAATGTCTATAGGCAGCATAAGTAATGTCTATAGGCAGCATAAGTAATGTCTATAAGCAGCAAAACATAATGTCCATACGTAACATAAGGTAATGTCTATAACTAAAATAAGTCAATGTCTATATGAAGGAGATGATAATGTCTAGACAGCATAAGGTAGTGTATAAGTAACACAAAGTAATGTCTGTAAGAGTGAGTGAGTGAGTGAGTTAAGATTTAACATCATATCGGCAATATCTCAGCCATATCGTGACGAGAACAATTAATTGAGAAAATATTTATAAACCTGTCATCGAAGGACAGTAAAACTACTAGAATATCACAGCTCTTAAATTAAAACTAGTACACTATCATAAAAAGACATCACTATAGTGAGTGAGTGAGCTTAGTTTTACGCTGCACTCAGCAATATTCCACCTATATGGTGGCAGTTGATATCATTTTAGACAACAATACAATATAAAACCGGGCTATAGATCACCAGCAACTGATAATGTCTGTAAGAAGCATAAGGTAATGTCTATAAGTAGCATAAGGTAATGTCTGTAAGAAGCAGAATAAGGTAAAGCCTGTAAGAATCATAACGTAATATCTATAAGAAGCAGAATAAGGTAATGTCTATAAGAAGCAGAATAAGGTAATGTATGTAAGAATCATAAGGTAATATCTATAAGAAGCAGAATAAGGTAATGTCTATAAGAAGCAGAATAAGGTAATGTATGTAAGAAGCATAACGTAATATCTATAAGAAGCAGAATAAGGTAATGTCTATAAGAAGCAGAATAAGGTAATGTCTGTAAGAAGCATAAGGTAATGTCTGTAAGAAGCAGAATAAGGTAATGTCTATAAGAAGCAGAATAAGGTAATGTCTGTAAGAAGCATAACGTAATATCTATAAGAAGCAGAATAAGGTAATGTCTATAAGAAGCAGAATAAGGTAATGTATGTAAGAAGCATATAAGGTAATGTCTGTAAGAGCAGAATAAGGTAATGTCTGTAAGAAGCAGAATAAGGTAATGTCTGTAAGAAGCATAACGTAATGTCTATAAGAAGCAGAATAAGGTAATGTATGTAAGAAGCATAACGTAATATCTATAAGAAGCAGAATAAGGTAATGTCTATAGGAAGCAGAATAAGGTAATGTCTGTAAGAATCATAAGGTAATATCTATAAGAAGCAGAATAAGGTAATGTCTATAAGAAGCAGAATAAGGTAATGTATGTAAGAAGCATAACGTAATGTCTGTAAGAAGCAGAATAAGGTAATGTCTGTAAGAAGCATAACGTAATGTCTATAAGAAGCAGAATAAGGTAATGTCTATAATAAGCAGAATAAGATAATGTCTGTAAGAAGCATAACGTAATATCTATAAGAAGCAGAATAAGGTAATGTCTATAAGAAGCAGAATAAGGTAATGTATGTAAGAAGCATAAGGTAATGTCTGTAAGAAGCAGAATAAGGTAATGTCTGTAAGAAGCATAACGTAATGTCTATAAGAAGCAGAATAAGGTAATGTATGTAAGAAGCATAACGTAATATCTATAAGAAGCAGAATAAGGTAATGTCTATAATAAGCAGAATAAGGTAATGTCTGTAAGAAGCAGAATAAGGTAATGTCTGTAAGAAGCAGAATAAGGTAATGTCTGTAAGAAGCAGAATAAGGTAATGTCTGTAAGAAACAGAATAAGGTAATGTCTGTAAGAAGCAGAATAAGGTAATGTCTGTAAGAAGCAGAATAAGGTAATGTCTGTAAGAAGCAGAATAAGGTAATGTCTGTAAGAAGCATAAGGTAATGTCTGTAAGCAGCATAAGGTAATGTTTGTAAGAAGCAGAAGGAAATGTCTGTAAGAAGCAGAAGGAAATGTCTGTAAGAAGCAGAATAAGGTAATGTCTGTAAGAAGCAGAATAAGGTAATGTCTGTAAGAAACAGAATAAGGTAATGTCTGTAAGAAGCAGAAGGAAATGTCTGTAAGAAGCAGAATAAGGTAATGTCTGTAAGAAGCAGAATAAGGTAATGTCTGTAAGAAGCAGAATAAGGTAATGTCTGTAAGAAGCAGAATAAGGTAATGTCTGTAAGAAGCATAAGGTAATGTCTGTAAGCAGCATAAGGTAATGTTTGTAAGAAGCAGAAGGAAATGTCTGTAAGAAGCAGAAGGAAATGTCTGTAAGAAGCAGAATAAGGTAATGTCTGTAAGAAGCATAAGGTAATGTCTGTAAGAAGCAGAATAAGGTAATGTCTGTAAGAAGCAGAATAAGGTAATGTCTGTAAGAAGCATAAGGTAATGTCTGTAAGAAGCAGAATAAGGTAATGTCTGTAAGAAGCAGAATAAGGTAATGTCTGTAAGAAGCATAACGTAATGTCTGTAAGAAGCAGAATAAGGTAATGTCTGTAAGAAGCAGAATAAGGTAATGTCTGTAAGAAGCATAAGGTAATGTCTGTAAGAACGAGAAAAAGGTAATGTCTGTTAGAAGCAGAATAAGGTTATGTTTGTTAGAAGAAGAATAAGGTAATGTCTGTAAGAACGAGAATAAGGTAATGTCTGTAAGAAGCAGAATAAGGTTATGTTTGTTAGAAGCAGAATAAGGTAATGTCTGTAAGAAGCAGAATAAGGTAATGTTTGTAAGAAGCAGAATAAGATAATGTTTGTAAGAAGCAGAATAAGATAATGTCTGTAAGAAGCAGAATAAGGTAATGTCTGTAAGAAGCAGAATAAGGTAATGTCTGTAAGAAGCAGAATAAGGTAAAGTCTATAAGCAGCATAAGGTAATGTCTGTAAGAAGCATAAGATAATGTCTGTAAGAAGCATAAGATAATGTGTATAAGTAATGTTTATGAGTAGCAGATGGTGGTACCTCAGTGAAAACAAATTATTCAACAGTTTACACTTAAATGAAAGTTCATATAGAAAGTGGAAGACAAATCAGTGATTATCTGACACATGATATCCAATCTGATACTAGCACATCTAAACTTTTGTTAGAACACAGTGACTGTGCAACTTGATATTCATTCATATGCTTCCTAAATGCCTCACCATATTGCGGGCATGTTAACACTTGTACAAACAAGATATAACAATAACTTTTGTCATGCAATAAAACATAATACAGTCTCAGCATTATATGTCACGTGATCAGCTAAACCGGTCATAAATAGCTACTACAACACGGCTGCTAAGGTGGCCATATTCAAATTCAAATGTGAACATCTTGAAACTAGATGTTATCTTAAGCAGAAACAAACATACGATTTTTCTGCTATATTAGTTCTACAGCTTCTGCACATTATCTTCACAGTACAAGGAAATGCAAAGACAAATGTCCCAATATCATGAAAAATAAACACACATATTGAGCGATTCAGTACACATACTGAAATTTCATTACTTTTTCACCACAAGTTTCAGATCAGTGCCTACAAAAGTTTCTGATTTCAGTATGCTCAAAGTTCAAACATCAAAATATGGTCAAAATTGAAAATATCAGAAAAAGGTGTCATCATTGGTGTGAAAACGTCTATTTCAGCTTCATTGTTCCAGTGGTTTCTGAGGACAAATAGCAATATTCAGAAGATATGTCCAAACTTTCATTCAAGTGAAAAGTGTACAAAACCATTTCCATTGACCGTATTCTGCCTGTTTGCCAGAAAATAATAAAACACAAATCCTTGTAAAATAGTAAAATGGTACAAAAAAGTAATGATTTACAAATGTTGTTAGGTGTCTGCAAACCTTACAAACATATAACATTTAAAGGCATTGATTCCATGTAAAACACTTTTCAAACTAACTGTAGGTATCAACAGCTGAAACAACACAGGAAGCCAACAGAATTTGGTGGCACCATTGGGGATTTTGTTTCATCATTCTTTGAAGAGATTTGTGAACTCTCCTTGAAACAAAACAGGTGCCCATGTCAACTGTAACAGTTTTCCTTTTCTCAATATCACTTAATTTAAAGTTTGTTTTAGTGGCCCCCATAACACTTGACCAGAACTCAAAAAATATATTTGTTTAATTAAATGTGATCAGCTCAACCTCCACATCCCCCTCCACAACCCCCACCACAACCACCTCCACCATCTCCACCCCCTTCTGTAAACCCACCACCCCCACCTCCATCGTCTCCGAAGAATCCCCCACCCAGGTCTTCACTGAAACCCCCACCTAGATCTCCACTGAAACCCCCAACTTGATCTCCACTGAAACCCCCATCCCCTTCACCAACTCCACTGAATGTGCCGCCCTCTCCACCACCATTCCAACCTCCTCCACATCCACCACAACCTCCACCATCAGCATTTCCAGAAGTTATACCATCTCCTCCACCAAGGGTCCAATCATCAACCCCTGTATCATCATACACACCCAAAGATAAATAGTCGTCTCCACCACCATATGTTCCCCCCATCCACAAATTCATCATCTCCAGTCCCACCAAGGTAATAATCCTCTTGTGTATCTGAATATCCCAAAGCTAGCATCTCTGTCACATCGTCATGTGAAGCACATCCTTCTGTGTCTGTAATCCCAAACCCCTGCACATCCCCTGCATCATCATCCAAAATGCCCAAAGCATAAGCGTCATCTGCGGTGTCAAAATCACCTTGACCATCCAGCAGTCCAACATCACTATTTTCACAAAGACCAAAATCTCCAAATTCTTGTTCATTTTCTCCAAAGTTTTCATCATTTTCTCCCCCAAAAGTTTCAGTTTCGAACTTGGCATAACCAAAGTCATCATTGTCAAGATCTTCATATTCCCCTTGATCTTGATCATCAGCAGCAGCAACATGGTCATCCCCAAGATCCTGGTCTTCATCAGCCAGCAGTCCTGTCTCAGAGGTAGCATCATCATCAAACCCTTTATCAGCTTCTCCTGGTCTGTTGTCATCAATAACACGATCACTATCATCATTCAGGCTATTGTCTTCCTCATTGTCATCAAGAATCTCCTCATCCTTCTCAAGTGCTTCATCAAGATACTCATCAACTTCCAAAGTATCACTGTCATATTTGGTAATGTCTTCAATTTCAGGGTCGTCCTTATTTTGTCTTTCCTCTTCATCTGTGAGATGGTTATCATCAGTATCTTCACCCTTTTCTTCCTCACAGTCTCCTTCACTCTTTCCACTCTCAACATCAGATTCTGAACAATGTAACTGTTTGGCTGTCTCCTCTGGAGCCTGGTCTTCATGCTTGTCTTCCCCATTACCCATATCCCCACCCCAAACAGCTGCAGCAAGCTCCTCTCGAACTCTCTCCTCTCTCTGCTCTGCACCACCCCAAGTGGCCTCCTCATAATGCTCCTCCAGGAGCTTCCCCTCCCCTGATGTCCACCCCTTCACACTCTCAGGATCTCTCTGACGGGACCGAATGAAGAAATTGGATGGAGTAGCAGCAAGGAACCCACAAGCAAGAACCAATGCTAAATTCTCGGATGGGATAGACCTGATAACTTTAGTTCCTCTTTTGTCACATGTGTCGAGTGTGTGTCCTGGCTCCCATCCCCGAGGCCGGGGCTGACACAGAACATGCAGTAGAGACACACTGAAGGCAAGGGCAAGGTTTTCTACTATGTTGTCATCATCTGCATTTATTTCAATCATCCCTCGATCAAGCTCAACACGAGATGACTCAATGTTGAATTTGAAAGATGATGATTCAAATGCTTTCTCCAGGGAGACATGTTGCCACTTACGTGTAGCAATCCGGAAGAAACTGATGTCAAGGTACCCAGGACTGCCAGGAATCCCCCGTTTGCCTTTCCGGGTGCTTGTGGCTGAAAAATATATTCCATTATATAATAGATGAACATGGAGGGCAGAATGTGTCTGTGGTATATCACATGTGACTAGTTGCAGTGTAGATATCTCTTATAATAGATGAACATGGAGGGCAGAATGTGTCTGTGGTATATCACATGTGACTAGTTGCAGTGTACATATCTATTATAATAGAGGAAAATGGAAGGCAGAATGTGTCTGTGGTATATCACATATGTCTAGTTGCAGTGTACATATCGCTTATAATAGATGAACATGGAGGGCAGAATGTGTCTGTGGTATATCACATGTGTCTAGTTGCAGTGTACATATCTCTGATAATAGATGAACATGGAGGGCAGAATGTGTCTGTGGTATATCACATGCGTCTAGTTGCAGTGTACATATCTCTTATAATAGATGAAAATGGAGGGCAGAATGTGTCTGTGGTATATCACATGTGTCTAGTTGCAGTGTACATATCTCTTATAATAGATGAACATGGAGGGCAGAATGTGTCTGTGGTATATCACATGTGTCTAGATGCAGTGTAAATATCTCTTATAATAGATGAACATGGAGGGCAGAATGTGTCTGTGGTACATCACATATGTCTAGTTGCAGTGTACATATCTCCTATAATAGATGAACATGGAGGACAGAATGTGTCTGTGGTATATCACATGTGTCTAGTTGCAGTGTACATATCTCTTATAATAGATGAACATGGAGGGCAGAATGTGTCTGTGGTATATCACATGCGTCTAGTTGCAGTGTACATATCTCTTATAATAGATGAACATGGAGGGCAGAATGTGTCTGTGGTATATCACATGTGTCTAGTTGCAGTGTACATATCTCTTATAATAGATGAACATGGAGGGCAGAATGTGTCTGTGGTATATCACATGTGTCTAGATGCAGTGTAGATATCTCTTATAATAGATGAACATGGAGGGCAGAATGTGTCTGTGGTATATCACATATGTCTAGTTGCAGTGTACATATCTCTTATAATAGATGAACATGGAGGACAGAATGTGTCTGTGGTATATCACATGTGTCTAGTTGCAGTGTACATATCTCTTATAATAGATGAACATGGAGGGCAGAATGTGTCTGTGGTACATCACATGTGTCTAGCTGCAGTGTACATATCTCTTATAATAGATGAACATTGAGGGCAGAATGTGTCTGTGGTATATCACATGTGTCTAGCTGCAGTGTACATATCTCTGATAATAGATGAACATGGAGGGCAGAATGTGACTGTGGTATATCACATGTGTCTAGCTGCAGTGTACATATCTCTTATAATAGATGAACATGGAGGGCAGAATGTGTCTGTGGTATATCACATGTGTCTAGTTGCAGTGTACATATCTCTTATAATAGATGCACATCGAGGGCAGAATGTGTCTGTGGTATATCACATGTGTCTAGCTGCAGTGTACATATCTCTTATAATAGATGAACATGGAGGGCAGAATGTGTCTGTGGTATATCACATGTGTCTAGCTGCAGTGTACATATCTCTTTTTTGCGGTATATCACATGTGTCTAGCTGCAGTGTACATATCTCTTATAATAGATGAACATTGAGGGCAGAATGTGTCTGTGGTATATCACATGTGTCTAGCTGCAGTGTACATATCTCTTATAATAGATGAACATGGAGGGCAGAATGTGTCCGTGGTATATCACATGTGTCTAGCTGCAGTGTACATATCTCTTATAATAGATGAACATGGAAGGCAGAATGTGTCTGTGGTATATCACATGTGTCTAGTTGCAGTGTACATATCTCTTATAATAGATGAACATGGAGGGCAGAATGTGTCTGTGGTATATCACACGTGTCTAGCTGCAGTGTACATATCTCTTATAATAGATGAACATGGAGGGCAGAATGTGTCTGTGGTATATCACATGTGACTAGTTGCAGTGTACATATCTATTATAGATGAACATTGAGGGCAGAATGTGTCTGTGGTATATCACATGTGTCTAGTTGCAGTGTACATATCTATTATAATAGATGAACATGGAGGGCAGAATGTGTCTGTGGTATATCACACATGTCTAGTTGCAGTGTACATATCTCTTATAATAGATGAACATGGAGGACAGAATGTGTCTGTGGTATATCACATGTGTCTAGTTGCAGTGTACATATCTATTATAATAGATGAACATGGAGGTCACATGTGTCAGACATATCTCTTATAATAGATGAACATGGAGGACAGAATGTGTCTGTGGTATATCACATGTGTCTAGTTGCAGTGTACATATCTATTATAATAGATGAACATGGAGGGCAGAATGTGTCTGTGGTATATCACATGTGTCTAGTTGCAGTGTACATATCTCTATAATAGATGAACATGGAGGACAGAATGTGTCTGTGGTATATCACATGTGTCTAGTTGCAGTGTACATATCTCTTATAATAGATGAACATGGAGGGTAGAATGTGTCTGTGGTATATCACATGTGTCTAGTTGCAGTGTACATATCTATTATAATAGATGAACATGGAGGGCAGAATGTGTCTGTGGTATATCACATGTGTCTAGTTGCAGTGTACATATCTATTATAATAGATGAACATGGAGGACAGAATGTGTCTGTGGTATATCACATGTGTCTAGCTGCAGTGTACATATCTCTTATAATAGATGAACATGGAGGGCAGAATGTGTCTGTGGTATATCACATGTGTCTAGCTGCAGTGTACATATCTCTTATAATAGATGAACATGGAGGGCAGAATGTGTCTGTGGTATATCACATGTGTCTAGTTGCAGTGTACATATCTCTTATAATAGATGAACATGGAGGGCAGAATGTGTCTGTGGTATATCACATGTGTCTAGTTGCAGTGTACATATCTATTATAATAGATGAACATGGATATCACATATGTCTAGTTGCAGTGTACATATCTCTATAATAGATGAACATGGAGGGCAGTGCATATATCACATGTGTCTAGTTGCAGTGTACATATCTCTTATAATAGATGAACATGGAGGGCAGAATGTGTCTGTGGTATATCACATGTGTCTAGTTGCAGTGTACATATCTATTATAATAGATGAACATGGAGGACAGAATGTGTCTGTGGTATATCACATGTGTCTAGTTGCAGTGTACATATCTATTATAATAGATGAACATGGAGGACAGAATGTGTCTGTGGTATATCACATGTGTCTAGCTGCAGTGTACATATCTCTTATAATAGATGAACATGGAGGGCAGAATGTGTCTGTGGTATATCACATGTGTCTAGCTGCAGTGTACATATCTCTTATAATAGATGAACATGGAGGGCAGAATGTGTCTGTGGTATATCACATGTGTCTAGCTGCAGTGTACATATCTCTTATAATAGATGAACATGGAGGGCAGAATGTGTCTGTGGTATATCACATGTGTCTAGTTGCAGTGTACATATCTCTTATAATAGATGAACATGGAGGGCAGAATGTGTCTGTGGTATATCACATGTGTCTAGTTGCAGTGTACATATCTCTTATAATAGATGAACATGGAGGACAGAATGTGTCTGTGGTATATCACATGTGTCTAGTTGCAGTGTACATATCTCTTATAATAGATGAACATGGAGGACAGAATGTGTCTGTGGTATATCACATGTGTCTAGTTGCAGTGTACATATCTCTTATAATAGATGAACATGGAGGACAGAATGTGTCTGTGGTATATCACATGTGTCTAGTTGCAGTGTACATATCTCTTATAATAGATGAACATGGAGGGCAGAATGTGTCTGTGGTATATCACATGTGTCTAGTTGCAGTGTACATATCTCTTATAATAGATGAACATGGAGGGCAGAATGTGTCTGTGGTATATCACATGTGTCTAGTTGCAGTGTACATATCTCTTATAATAGATGAACATGGAGGACAGAATGTGTCTGTGGTATATCACATGTGTCTAGTTGCAGTGTACATATCTCTTATAATAGATGAACATGGAGGGCAGAATGTGTCTGTGGTACATACATGTGTCTACATAGTGTACATATCTTATAATAGATGAACATGGAGGACAGAATGTGTCTGTGGTATCTCACATGTGTTAGATGAGTGTACATATCTCTATATAATAGATGAACATGGAGGGCAGAATGTGTCTGTGGTATATCACATGTGTCTAGTTGCAGTGTACATATCTCTTATAATAGATGAACATGGAGGGCAGAATGTGTCTGTGGTATATCACATGTGTCTAGTTGCAGTGTACATATCTCTTATAATAGATGAACATGGAGGGCAGAATGTGTCTGTGGTATATCACATGTGTCTAGTTGCAGTGTACATATCTCTTATAATGAACATGGAGGGCAGATGTGTCTGCAGAATGTGTCTAGCAGTGTACATATCTCTTATATAGATGAACATGTGTCTAATGTGCAGTGTACATATGTGTCTAGTTGCAGTTATAATAGATGAACATGGAGGGCAGAATGTGTCTGTGGTATATCACATGTGTCTAGGGCAGAATGCAGTGTACATATCTCTTTATAATAGATGAACATGGAGGGCAGAATGTGTCTGTGGTATATCACATGTGTCTAGTTGCAGTGTACATATCTCTTATAATAGATGAACATGGAGGGCAGAATGTGTCTGTGGTATATCACATGTGTCTAGCTGCAGTGTACATATCTCTTATAATAGATGAACATGGAGGGCAGAATGTGTCTGTGGTATATCACATGTGTCTAGTTGCTAGCTGCAGTGTACATATCTCTTATAATAGATGAACATGGAGGGCAGAATGTGTCTGTGGTATATCACATGTGTCTAGTTGCAGTGTACATATCTATTATAATAGATGAACATGGAGGGCAGAATGTGTCTGTGGTATATCACATGTGTCTAGTTGCAGTGTACATATCTCTTATAATAGATGAACATGGAGGGCAGAATGTGTCTGTGGTATATCACATGTGTCTAGTTGCAGTGTACATATCTCTTATAATAGATGAACATGGAGGGCAGAATGTGTCTGTGGTATATCACATGTGTCTAGCTTGCAGTGTACATATCTCTTATAATAGATGAACATGGAGGGCAGAATGTGTCTGTGGTATATCACATGTGTCTAGTTGCAGTGTACATATCTATTATAATAGATGAACATGGAGGGCAGAATGTGTCTGTGGTATATCACATGTGTCTAGTTGCAGTGTACATATCTATTATAATAGATGAACATGGAGGGCAGAATGTGTCTGTGGTATATCACATGTGTCTAGTTGCAGTGTACATATCTCTTTATAATAGATGAACATGGAGGGCAGAATGTGTCTGTGGTATATCACATGTGTCTAGCTGCAGTGTACATATCTCTTATAATAGATGAACATGGAGAATGGTCAGAATGTGTCTGTGGTATATCACATGAACATGTCTAGTTGCAGTGTACATATCTCTTATAATAGATGAACATGGAGGGCAGAATGTGTCTGTGGTATATCACATGTGTCTAGTTGCAGTGTACATATCTCTTATAATAGATGAACATGGAGGGCAGAATGTGTCTGTGGTATATCACATGTGTCTAGTTGCAGTGTACATATCTCTTTATAATAGATGAACATGGAGGGCAGAATGTGTCTGTGGTATATCACATGTGTCTAGCTGCGGCATCGAAAAGAAATGAAACTTGAACTTTAATTTTTGTCGATATCTATTATTAATGCTATTTCGTGAACAGCAGGGAGACTTGTAGATCTCTATTTCTACTGATCCATTGTGACGTCAGGTTTCAAATGACAGCAGATTATCCTGAATGTCGGATACTGTCCACAGACGGGTCCCGCCACACCTGCAGATAGCCATGTCAGCGAGCAGACGACCAGTTCTGGGAATGTCGCCATCGCGTGTTCTACATATAGTTACATAAGAGGTCTCTGGTTACATGTACAGCAGGTGAAGTACTGTTCCGGGTCACCGTCAGATCAATAGGATGTACTTCTGACACTGTGTGAGACATTCACACATGACGTGGGAAGATTTATATCCCTGACAGTAGCGAGCATACGTGGATCTCGTGCCGAATGGCTATGTGGCCTTTGAAATGTGATCACGATTGAGCGGATACTGGGAAAACACACAAACACGCACGCACGCACGCACGCACGCACGCACGCACGAACACCCGTGTGTGTGTTTACACATATAGGTACTTGTTAGCATATTCCTAACGCATCATGTATGCGAAAACTAGGCTACCAATGGGATCGGGTGGTCAGGCTCGCTGACTTGGTTGACACATGTCATCGTATAGGTCACATCTGGGATACTCTACAACAGGCCTTATATAGTCCCCCTGGTCACATCGAATGTTGTCGAGTTAGACATTGAATAACAAACACATCGGTTACAATTGTCTGAGATAACGTATATATCACATCGTGTGGGCTTCGTGTGCCTGGCTATGGTGTTTTAATACACCAATGACGCCGGCGATATCCAATGCTTGTCTCACACATTCGTCACACAAGGAGGGGAAGGCAACATGTAAAGATTTTACATACGCATCATGTATACTGTCATACTGTGGCGCTTAGTTAGCTTGTTTTTCTTGTTTAATCGTATTCAGCAATGTTCCAGCTATATGGCGATGGTCTGTAAATAATCGATACCCAAATAATCCAGTGACCAACAACGCATGAGCATCGATCTACGCAATTGGGATAATGATGACACGTGTCAACCAAGTCAGCGAGTCTGACCACCCGATCCTGTTAGTCGCCTCTTACGACAAGCATGGGTTACTGAAGATCACACCCGTGAAGGTCCGGTTTGAGTGAACCTTCAGCAACCCTTCGGCACTACACAGTATTCAAGCGGTCTGTAAATAATCGAGTCTGGACCATACAATCAAGTGATCAACAGCAGGAACATCGATATACGCAATTGGGATAGGATGTCAATATGTGACTAGCGTAAACCATTCTAGAATGTCAGACAGAGGCCAGTGGTGATGAAGATATGTTTTGATTAGTTTGAGACCTTCCCCAAGGCTCTAGGACTGCGGGGTAGCATAGTAGTTAAAGCATTTTCTCGTCACAGTGATGACCCGGTTCAATTCCCAACATGAAGCCCGTTACTGGTGTCCCTGTCGTGACATTGCTAGAATATTGCTAAAGGCAGCTTAAACTCACCCACTCACTCACCCCAGGTGTCCTTAACACAGCTGTAGTTCTAGATAATTACAGAGTTAACATTTTGCAAAATGCTGAGTAAACAACATTCACAAACTCGTTGATATATTTAATACATATAAATGGAAGTTTTACACTTCCCTACCTTGTTACCATGGTTACATGACATCACCACACGCACATATTTATATCATCTAAAGGTGCTATGGGTTTCCTTGCAGATAAAATGTTTGCCCATCCCACTGAAGACCCAGGTTTGATTCCCGACATGGGTCCAATTCTTTATGCCAAGTTTAGCTATCACCTGCACCATATTGTTAGAATATAACTGCAGGCATACATGATCCTTTCAAATGGATGAGTGGCTAGTAAGTACTCCAGGGTGCCCTTGTACAAAACGACCGCCTTCGTGGTGTAGTGGTTAGAGCGTCCGCCCGGAGAGCGGAAGGTCGCGGGTTCCATCCCCGACCGCATCATACCAAAAGACGTTAAAATATGGTACTTGTTGGTCCCTGCCTGGCGCTCGGCATTAATGGGTACAACAAGGACTGGTCGGCTTGGAGTCAGTATAATGTGTCTGAGTGGGGTATTCATGCTTCACTGCGGCATGGTGTCTCAGTGGGCTAGCACTATAAAACCAGCTTCAGTCTGGGCTAGTACAAGCAGCCTCACATACACATACACACGCATGCATGTCGTCATATGAGCGAAATATTCTCAAGCACAACGTAAAAACCCAGTTTCACCTCACCTCACCTTGTACAAAACAACCTTAGCAACCTATGTTAAGGTATGGGAGTTACCATCACTTTAGCCCTAAGAGACACAGCAGCCAGATTGCTCGTTTCTCTTGCTGGAATTCAACAGACTCCTCTTATGTAAGCAGAAGCATTTTATTCAAGCACAGAACAGCACAATTTCATATTTCATGGGGTTTTTTTGTACATTATTAACTTTTTCAAAAATATTACACAAGAAGACAAAGTCATCAATATCCCCCGCAATGGCAAAATACTCTTCATGATTATGTCTACGAGTTATGATTATGTGAAATATTTAGGTGTGTATATAGAAAAGTGGAAGGAGAGTATTGAAAGGTTTTTAAAGTTCTGCTCCAAAAGGAGCACTATCATCAATTTCAGTCTATGTCAAACTCGTTGCCATGGAAATGCCAAAAATATTTTATTCAGAATTCCAAAACGACCAAAAAGGAACCAGTACACCACCAGGCCAGTTTGGTGAAGAAATAGTGAACGGTTTTAGAGTTCAGCTCCGGAAAAGAGCACTACCACCAATTTCAGTGCTAAGAAATCAAACTTGTTGGCCAAACGGAAAATGCCATAAATATTTTATTCAGAATTCCAAAACTACCAAAAGGCACCAGTACACCACCAGATCTATCTATGTGCCAAGTTTGGTGAAGAAATAGTGAACGGTTTTAGAGTTCTGCTCCGGAAAAGAGCACAACCACCAATTTCAGGCTAAGTCAAACTTGTTGCCATGGAAACGCCAAAAATATTTTATTCAGAATTCCAAAACTACCAAAAGGCACCAATACACCACCAGATCTATCCATGTGCCAAGTTTGGTGAAGAAATAGTGAACGGTTTTAGAGTTCTGCTCCGGAAAAGAGCACTACCACTAATTTCATTCTAAGTCGAACTTGTTGCAATGGAAACGCCAAAAATGTTTAATTCAGAATTCCAAAACTACCAAAAGGCACCAGTACACCACCAGATCTATCTATGTGCCAAGTTTGGTGAAGAAATTTTGAACGGTTTAGAGTTCTGCTCTGGAAAAGTCAAATGTGCACAGACGGACGCACGGACGGAGTCCATTTTAATACCCCCCGCAAAACGCCTTGCGGGGGATAATAAAAAACACATTAAAAGACTGAATACCTTATCATCAAACGCTGGATTATTACAAAAGGTGAATACACTTTCTGATAAATCTCAAGGTACCTGTACAAAACAAAGATAAACAGTAAACTAAAAGAAATGTAAGCTAGCATGCATTTCTCAAAATAGGAGCACTTATGTAGGAGAGCACTTAAAACTGGACAGCGCTAAGATAAGAGCACGTAAAGATGATAGCACTTAAATAGGGCAGATCTTAATCTACATGATCTTCTACACAGTAAAGATGAGGATCATCTATCTGTCAGTTTGTATCTCAAAGACAGGAAACCACTCAATTGTAAGAACTTGACTTCATGTTTCATCGTACACAGAATCAACAACTTCTACTTTAAAGCACTATGGTTTAAAAAGGCCACTAACACAATGGAAAACCACATACAAAACAGTTTATGCATATTAATGATAAAGAAATTAAAACTGATATTTTCTATTCCACAAAATGTCAAGAAAATGGTAAATGTACATAATCATTTGAAATTGTCTACAGTTCTTAAAAGATTGAATACAAATTTTTGTATTTATTATTTATTTATTTCTACTATTTTATTTTGTATTTATTTTATTTTCATTTCATTTAGTTATTTTTTTTGGGGGGGAAGAGGTTTAAACAAATAGGAAAAAATTGAAAAAGCAGTCTACTGTAGATCAAATGCGTGTTGTGGGTGTGTGCATGCATGTTGTTGTCGGGGGATTGCATGCACGAAAGTTAAGGTGTTTCAGAGAAAAGGGCTTTTTCCGCAAAACTAGTCATGGCTTTTTAAGTCCAAGAGTTCGGCAGCTTGTCTTCCTCCGCGTCGGCCTTGCTCGTCATACCACTTGCTGTGAGGCTACATTGTCGGTGGTAGGGGTCAGCGGACTTTCGCCTCAGCAGCTTCTGACAAAGGCTGTACTTGATATCCTTCCCTCCACCTGGGGGCACTGGTTCCTTCAGCGAGATTTCTGATAGTGTTAGATCGGAGGTCATCAGGGATGTCATAAGGATGGTGGCAGAACCGTTGGCAGGACGACTGTGGAAAGAAACATGTAATCAGAACATACAGTAATGGCTGAAGATAACAAATATCAAAATGAACTAAAACTCCAGTTACATATATTGTGTATTGAATCATGGCTGAATCATGGTATGTGTAAAAACCTGGAATCAAAACCTGGCTGAATGAAACTTCCTTAAACAAAAGACATCAAACAGGGAAGGGAGGTGAAAGGAACAGCCATGACCCTGACCTTGATGTGACACAGACTGAAGCATTATTTTTGTAAATACCATGAATCAAACCCAACTGAATGAAAGTTCCAGAAACAATAGACATGAATCTGAGCAGGGAGGTGAAAAAAGCAGCTGTGACCCTGACCTTGACCTTGTTCTTGGAGCTGGATGTACAGCAATGCCTCCTCTGCTGTCAACCTGATTTTGGGATCTCCAACCAGAAGACACTGCAGCAGTTCATGGGTCTTTACAGGCAGGTCGGCTGTGATGCCCCAGACCTGGATGTAATTAGGATTCTTTGCAAGCTGAGGAAAAGAAGGGCAAAATGTGCTAAATGTTGGGTATGGCACAAACTGAATTGACACAATGAGAACCTTAATTACTGGAAAGTAGGATTGTATTGTTTGTTGTTTAACTCCGCACTCGGCACTTTTCCAGCTATATGACAGTGGTCTGTGTACAATCAAGCCTGGACCAGACAATCCAGTGATTGACATCATGAACATCGACCTACGCAGTTGGTATGCGATGACGTGTCAGTCAACCAAGTCAGCAAGTCTGACTATCTGATAGTCGCCTCTTGAGCCAACCATGGGTTGCTGGAGACCAATTCTAACCCAGATCTTTTGTGTGTGCGTGCATGGATGGGTGGGTGTTTGGGTAGGTGGATGGATGGATGGATGGATGCAGCACAACCATCTTTTGCAGGACAATCAAAGTATTGGAGGGTTTACATTGCCTTCTGTTCAATATTCATGAATGTGCGTGACAAATCTTCAACTAATATTCATCTGACTTTAAACGGAATTAATTTCTATTTCCATTTAACAAGCAGGCAGTATTTAACATAGAAACACTAAATTAGCACAACAATTGCCGTCCACTAAAAACGTCAAATACTCACATGGGCAATGAATTTTGGTCGAAGTGCAGCAAACTGCTGAGCACTGCACAAGCTCAGCAGGTCTTTCCACAACAGAAAGACAGTGTGTTGTCCCTGAAGCATGTAACAGATCGTCAGACCGAACGCAAACACGTCCGACTTGCCCGTGATGTCTTCGGCTAGGAAACATTCAGGGAAGACCGACCCCTTGGCAGCGTAGTACTGTCTGCTGGCTTCTGGGGACATGTACTCTGGTGTCCTGCCACCACAGCCGATTGCAGTCTCGGGCGTCTTGCTCGTTCCAAAATCTGTCAGTTTGATGACCGGTGAATTGTCCCCTTCATAAGCGATGCAAATGTTGTCCGCTGAAAATCGATATCATTGAAAATGGATGAAAGGTGACGGATCAAAAAGTTTTTTGCTAACACCCAACTATTCAAATACTCAAGGTTTACCTGACTTAACCTTCTATGAAAGTAGATAAAATGTAAAATTGCAACTACTCAATCACAGCCAACATGAACAGCATTTCATGGATAAAATGTGGATGATCACTACGGAATATTGCAACCATTAAACCTCCAAAACATTCAAGTTTCACCTGATTCAGCATTTCATGGATACAATGTGGCGGATTACTTCCTATTATTGCAACCATTAAACCTCCAAAACACTCAAGTTTCACAATCTTCTAAAGATGTCCACCTGTACATTTTTAGAGTAAAATTGATATTTTATACTTATCCTGACTCATGCTCTTTTTGCTTGTCTTCTTCTTCTTGCGAACATAGTGGAACACTTGTATCTCCCTAATTGAAGCTCCCTTCAATGTAAAATCACTAATTAGTACACCACGAGTTACCTCCCTTCCACAAGCGCGGGAACGAGGGCGCCACCTCCACCCATGTGCCTCACTCTCTCCTCATATACTGAGCCCAACATTTGAATTTACAGGGAAATCCAAAGTGTTATGTGGGGAGGATGGGAGGGCTTACCTCATGAGTCAGGATAAGTATAAAATATCAATTTTACTCTAAAAATTACATATTTTTCCTTATCCTGACTCATGCTCTTTTTGCTTGTAGAATCCTACGGCAAAGGAGGTGGGAATATATAATACTTTGGATTTTAATAATTAGTGATTTGAACTGTGATGATTGTAATAACCCTATGGGAACTTCATAAAGGCACTGAACTGATGAATTCCTGCTGCTAACTTATCAGCTGCCATATAAAGGTTATTACAATGTACTTATTATGATAAAGTATATATAACATTAATACAATGCTTAAGACTAATAGACTTAAGCTTGTTAATATGCTAGTATAAACTCCTTAGAGTTTGTTAGCTAAAATACTTAAAGATATAAACATAGTACTAAGCTTAAGATATGATTAAACTTAAGCTAATTATATAATAGCAAAACTCTTTAGAGTTTGTTAGTTAATATACTTATATGATATAGATATAATGCTGAGCTTAAGATATGAATAAAGCTTTAGCTTTAGCTACATATATAATAGCAAAACTCTGTAGAGTTTGTTAGCTAATATATTTTTACAATATGAGTATAGTACTGTGCTTAAGATATAATTAACTTAAGCTACATATACAATAGCCAAAAACTCTGTAGAGTTTATTAGCTAATAGATTTATAATGTAACCATAGTACTAAGCTTAAGATAAGATTAGACTTAAGCTAAATGTATATAGCAAAAAACTCCTTAGAGTTTATTAACTAATATACTTTTATGTTATAAACATAGTACTGAGCTTAAGATATGATTAAACTTAAGCTATATATATAAATAGCAAAACTCCGTAGAGTTTTGTTAGCTAATACATTTTATAATGTAACCATACTGCTTAAGATATGATGAAACTTAAGCTAATTGTATAATAGCAAAAAACCCTTTAGAGTTTGTTAGCTAAAATACTTATATGATATAAACCTAGTATTGAGCTTATGAAGGAAACCTTAAGCTACATATATAATAGCAAAAACTCCGTAGAGTTTGTTAGCTAATACATGTTATAATGTAACCATAAAGCTTAAAATATGATGAAACTTAAGCCAAATATATAATAGCAAAAACCTCTTTTAGAGTTTTGATAGCTAATATACCTATATGATATAAACATAGTACTGCGCTTAAGATATGAATAAGCTTAAGTTACATATATAATAGCAAAAACTCCGTAGAGTTTGTTAGCTAATACATGTTATAATGTAACCATATTGCTTAAGATATGATGAAACTTAAGCCAAATAGCAAAAAACTCTTTAGAGTTTGTTAGCTAATATACTTATATGATATAAACATAGTACTGAGCTTAAGATATGAATAAGCTTAAGCTACCTATATAATAGCCCAAACTCTGTAGAGTTTGTTAGCTTATATATTTTTACAATATGAGTATAGTACTATGCTTAAGATATAATTAACTTAAGCTACGTATATATAATAGCCAAAAACTCTGTAGAGTTTGTTAGCTAATGCATTTATCATGTAACCATAGTACTACTCTTAAGATATGATTAACTTAAGGTAAATATATAATAACCAACTCTGTAGAGTTGTTAACTTATATATTGTATGATGTAATAATCATAGTACTGTGATGATAAAAGAACTTAAGCAAATTATATATAGCATGTAGCTATTTAGTACTGTTATAAGATAAGTAGAAATCTGTAAGATTGATTTATCTTCTCCGAGGAACTGTCAACTGTTGTGCGAGGACCATGGGATCGAATTGGTGGATACCTGAGACGTCCTCGGTGGTGATATCTCTCAGATAATGGTTGGCAACCACCATATCGGATCTCCAGAAATAAACCCTCCATTATTTCAAATAACATTTGTGTAGATCAATTGTAGAAGTTAGCTCTCTAATATCATGAGTATTAAAAGCTCATGGAGGGTCGGATTGGGTCCATCCGTCTTGTATGCACGTAGTATGACAGTTCTGATCCAAACGGAGATATAGTACGTGAGACTTCATTCTGCGTAAGTTGATGATAGAGGAAATAATCTGTTGCATTTTTCCCTCCTGTTTGGTTCGGTGGAGATAAATTTACAGTGCTCTTGCTGGCCATCGTGATAGAATCATCGTATCATGGAGTCCAAGTATGTCATCCAGGCGTGTTCATAAACCTCACTTGTGAGGTGTTGGAGCACTATATTCAGATCCCCAAGTTGGAGGGTGAAACTTCCGTTTTAATTCTCCAATCAGAAAGCTTAAGTAGGTTTACTAACCATCTAGTTGTGTTAGTAGCTTGATGATGAAATTCAGCTGTAGTCTGAGACGCTGTGGATTTAGATCCACTTGTATCCCGTCGTCTAGGTTATTCGCTGCGAAGTCCTTGACGATGTAGGTGCACAACCAGGTGTGTCTGTCCTCGTTGAACTTTATGTAAAATCGCCTGACTGCCGTGCCCTCGTCCTAACTTGACAGGGGAGGTCTCTAACCTGAAGAAAGCAGCCCAATCATGAAGGTTCAGATTAACTGGACTGTAAGGAGGCTTGCTCGTTCACTGATATATAGTTGTCACTTGTAACGTAAGTCTTGAACTGTGAACTAAGATCGACCTCTCGTGAGGTCGTTGTCCAACGCGTCCAATCAGAACAAGGCATTTTGATTCTGTAGAATACCCGCTGTGATGTGATGTCACCGTGTAGCAGGAAAAAAACCTTGTATAAAATCTTGCCGCCGTTGATATTAGCATAATCGTCGGTCTTCACCGTAGCTTCCCGGTTACCCGAAAGTGACCACGTGTTTCGAGGGTTAAAGGTAAACGCTGAAAACCTCCGCCAAATACCTCGCCTGTAATATTAATGCTGGGTAGGTTATTTTCCTGGCTGTCGTGAAAGTAACTTCAGTTTTGAATATAATTCCGACTTCCTTATATAAAGGTACAATAAACTTGCAAGTTGTCAGCTTGTAGACTGTATACATGAATGTATCGTCATAATTGTAGAATTAAAGCTGAACTTGTTGTACATATTTCTTCTCAGAAACTTTGACGATTATGAGTTATACTCGCTGTAACAAGGCTGCTGTTCAATTTCGATATTGAATTGTCTGCAGATCTGCGTAATGGTCACGCATGTAGATAATCGTATCGTAGTCCGGGATTGCATATTCTAGCAATCTATACGGAAAGGTTGATTCCTGTGAAGATCTATGAAACGTCGTTGACTAATTAATACAGCGACGTTCTGTGTTGTAAATAGCCTGTGCAATTGTCTTCGCGTAGGCTTATAGACGGCATATGGCATACAGTTGATAGACAACTTATGCGATGTCTTGAACGGACTGACGAGTAGCTATATATGACGAGTGGCTAATATATGGAGACCTTGGAGGAGATTTCCTCGGTGGACGCCGGAGACTTCGCGAAGCTCTCGAAGTATCCATTCTAGATTTTCTGTGTGAAGTAGACTTGGAGCCACTTAGCCTTCGCGACCTTCGCGAAGGTATCGAGTCAGAGCCCGATCAGTATATATATATATGAGCGCTTGCTTCGCGAACGACCTCTGTGTTCAACAGGAGTGAGTGAGTGAGTGAGTTTAGTTTTACGCCGCACTCAGTAATATGTGGGGTCGGTGAAGCGCTACTCCTCCGCGACGTCCCTTGTAACTGGTGAGGCTCTAGCTCCTTCGCGGAGGTGGCCTGGGACTTCCTTAGAGAAGTGTCTAGAGTCCGATCAATATATGAGCGTTAGCTTCATACAGGGTGTGGTTCTTGCTGGTTCTGCATAAGTAGAGCCGAGTAGATCATCCTATCATCTTCAGAAGTCGTGTCACGAAATCTGGTGATAAGAATCTCATTGATCGTTCTAGATCTATTAAGGCCAAGAACATACGCCTCTGGCGTTTGAACTTTTATGGCTTTATGGTAGACTGTGTCCACATTCTGTGGCACCGCAGCAATCGAGTCGATCGGAGGTAAGGTGATGGCGTCTGCATCGTCTTCCTTTATCAGGTATGTCTGCGCCGAGTTGCCACTCTTGGAAGGTGAAGAGAGATCTAGGTTGTTTACCATCCAATATCGTATCTCAGCGTCTGAGAAAATGATGCCTCCATCATCTTCTATCCCAGCATCGCTGATGAGAGGTTGATGCTCTTCTGATGGTGGACTGTGTATTTCTATCTCTATGTCGGGTGACGCTCGGGGAGACCTGACTGTAGACTTGTGTGCAGACTTGTGTGGTGACCTGTGAGGCGATCGACGTGGTGATGTACGAGGAGGAGATCGGGCGCGGCGTGAACGGCGAGGAGATCGCCTTGGTGATCTGCGCCTATGGGTTGACCTTCTCGAGACCTGTGAGGAGAATGTTGATAGCTTCGCTGGCCTCTTGTGTAGTCAGGTGTCCTTCGCTGGCCTTCGCTGGCTTCCTCTGCGTCCGGTCCTGGGGAACGGCGACTTGACCTTCGCTGGCTTCCGTGAGGTCTGGTGGTCTGAGTCCGCATCTAAGGATGAAGCCGAGGAAGGTGATGATCTATCCCGCCGCTGCTGGCCTTCGTGTACATCTGGGTCCTTCGTCGAGGTGGTCTGCGACTTTCTTCGCCGCGAAGGTGGCTTCGCCGTGGCTGCTACGCTGACGGGGGTGCCTCTGGGGTGTCGTCTGCGTTGGAACCTTCGCGAAGGCTCAGGCCTTGGGCTGGCTGCTTCTCCAGTCTGTAGTGGCCCTCCATCATGATCATGATTTGCCGCAACAGTTCATCTGGGATGGTCTGCGACGAAGTAGTCGGTGCCCTCTCTGCGATGTTAGCGGCGGGGCCCTCAGGGAAGTCGTCTGACGTCAGTGTAGAGACATCAGGCTGCATGGCGATCTCTGCTGATGTCACTGTAGCTGTCTCCGGTCGCTTCTTGTGGCGTACGTCGGGGATGATGATCGGCTGATCATCGTAGAGGCCCAGTTCAGCGGCTGGAACAATCTCGGTTGAGAAAGTCCTAGTAGACTTCGTTGATTTCCCCTCAGAGGTCGACGCTGCCCTGGGGGTGCGAAGTCTGCGTTGAGTGTTGGTAGCGACGGGACCCTCAGGAAGATCATAGAATATCAGCGTTGGTACATCAGGCTGCATGTTGATCTGCGCTGACATCACTGTTGCCGACATCGGTCATTCTTTTGATGTACATCAGGTATGATGATCGGCTGATCATCAACCAGGCCTAAATCTGCGACGGGAACAATCTCGGCTGAGAAGTTCAAGTAGACTTCGTTGATTTCCCCTCAGAGGTCGCGTTGAGATGCAGTAGAAGCCCTCTAGTCTTCGGCTGCGACGATGGGATGTCTGGGGAAGCAGGACGCTTCTTGGAGGCGGCGGACTACGTCCCACGCCTCTCCACCACTCTAGCGGAACACCAGACGGGAGGGGGGTCGACCAACAGCAGTAGACTGGCGAGGGGTTCAGGTGTATCAGTCATGGCTAGACTCTGCATACGCGACCTATCTGCTGCGCGTCTCAAACGCAAAGTAATTATTTATTAAAGGCAGAATTGGATAAATTAGTACCGCAACTGCAACGTGAATAACATGAAACATGGCGCAGTACAGCTAGGGCATATTAAATGCGGATCAGCAGCAGAATAAAAAACGTAATGTGCAACAGTACAGAATTTTTATCAACGTAATCCACTGAAACAACACGGCGTCCCGTGAATAAACAGTAGAAACACGACTAAATATCAATATATAATTGTTGAAGGATACTAGCTAAACCTCTATAGATGTCTATACGAGGTAACTAACTAAATATAATCAAAGGATATAGTGTGTCGGGAGACACAGGCGCTCTCACGTCCAGCTCACTGGGCGAAGAAGGAGAGAGTGAGGCACATGGGTAGAGGTGGCGCCCTCGTTCCCGCGCTTGTGGAAGGGAGGTAACTCGTGGTGTACTAATTAGTGATTTTACATTGAAGGGAGCTTCAATTAGGGAGATACAAGTGTTCCACTATGTTCGCAAGAAGAAGAAGATAAGCAAAAAGAGCATGAGTCAGGATAAGGAAAAATTATGATTTTAATGTGATTGCAAGATATATACATGTATAGAATATACTACTCACGCTTGATGTCGTGATGCAGGATCTTAAACACGGTGTGCATGTAGGCCAGGGCTGAGAAGCCCTGCATGGCCATCCTCATCACGACGTCCGGTGTCCACAGCTCCCGCCAGTTGGCATTGGTCGCAATGAAGACTGACAGGGACACACCTACAAGGTCAGCAAAATGTGTGAGTGAGTGAGTTTGGATTAACGTCACTGTAAGCAATACTCCAGCAACATTAGGGCAGGGAGACACCAGAAATGGGTGTCACAAAATGTACCAACGTTGGGTATCGAACCCGGGTCTCTGACGTGACGAGTGAACGCTTTAACCACTAGGCCACCCCACCACCCCAAAAAGCATTAGTGACTCCTGGACATAAAACAATTTGCCTTTGACACACTCAGCCAGAGAAAAACACTATTTTTGTCAAAAGTTTCGGCTCATAAGTTCATATTTTCCTAAGTTTAGAGGTATTTTGGGATTGTATTTTCATAATATTTTAAATTCAACAAACATAAACTAAGTCTTACAGCCCCATCCTCTTTACTTGACATGCTACAGTGCTTCAGCCAGAATTTTTCTGAGTGTTGCCAACTGCCATCATAACTACTAAAATGTGTGCCAATGCAGTTGAGACTTTTGCCATTCATGGTAACCATGGTATAGAAGACCTGTGGATTATATTAAATGTTGTGCCAATGCAGTTGAGACTTTTGCCATTCATGGTAACCATGGTATAGAAGGCCTGTGGAATATATTACTTGTTGCGCCAATGGGTGCGCTCTAGCATTGAAAAAAAGTGACACTGCATATTTTTTAATGTCAGTGGCACAATGGCGCTTGCCTGGCTGAAGTACTGCATGATATCATAATGATTTTCATCAAGGGCAGAAATTTAGTACCATTTTGGTGACAGATTCAGGTAAACAAAATGGACTGACAGGAGGTCAAAGGTTGAACCCACCAGCATACTCCATGAGGATCTCATGCTGACCTTCCCGGAAGATGTAGCCAAGGAAACGTGTGATGTTGGGATGGCTTAGAGTGTTCAGCACTTCAACTTCCTTCTTTCGGAATCGGGCAGAAATCTAGCAACAAATACGGCAGTCCACACTAGTTTGTTTCTTTGCATTTGTGTTTGTTTTTGCCGAATGCAACAGTCGGCAATAGTCCAGCTATGCGGTGCCAGTTTTTAAATAATCACAATTGAGAGATTGATAGCACGAGCATCAAAACATGCAATTGGAACATGATGCCATGTATTACCACTTGAACATGTTGAAAACATATTTACAGATGGTTTGAGTTCAGTAATTCAATAAAACCCTTGACATTTCTTTAACCACACTACAATGGCAACAAAATATGAATACTTATGTTCACCTTCTTGTTCACATACTTCTTCCCAGACCTGTGTTCACAGAGGTCGACTTGGCCAAACCCTCCACGACCCAACTCTTTAATAACCTGGAATTCTTTTCCATGGTCCTTGTGGAGATGGTTTCATGCCCTGAAAATGGGGAGATAATTTCAGATAAATGACAAATTATGTCAGAGGCAGCAACAGCAGCAGCAACAGCAGCATCTCCATCTCTCAACAACATCTAATTACAAATTTAATTTGTACACTATTTTTCATTCATTGTAGATCTTTTTCTGAAAATGAAATAAAAATCACTTGAAATACTATTTTATTGAGACTTTAATCATGAAAATAATTACAAAATTCCTGACTCAAAAACAGAAAAAACTCACTCTGTCCAAAATAACTCCATATGTTCCTTTTTTCTGTTTATTGAACAACAGTGACACATCCTTGCTGGACCCAAGCACCACGCACCTGTGCAGAAGTGAATGAAAAACACACACTTTAGACAACTGGACTCAACATGACCCTGGTATCTTACAGGCTGAAAAAGGTTTACGAATATTTAGCAACAATCAAGCATTAGTCAACTACATGTAGTTACAATTTACAGCAGTTCATACATGAAAGTTACTTTTCAAAATTATTTAAACTTAAAATATCTTGTTTTCAAAACATTCTAACGGTATGTGCGAATGTTAACTTTTGCGATTTGGTAAGCCGTGTTCTGATTGGTCAATTCAAAAGGTTAGCTGACGTGACCTTCTACTAGCGTTTGTTAGACTCGGCATAGCAGTGTAACGAATAATACTGAGCCTAAGTTTACTTAGACTGAACGACACAAGATATGAATTTTTAATTTAACCTTTCATAAAAACAAGTTCCCCACCTAATTACACTTTATCAATTCAAGGATAGTTAATCAACTATTCTGCACACCACTAGTTGCTAGCCACAGAGTATTTGTTCTATAATGCCCAACGCCAGTGTTGCCAGGTTCGCATTTCCTCAAACCACATTAACACCTTAATCCATGGCTCCAGATAATTTTTCAACATCAGTAGTATGTACTCCTTATTTTTTACAATATAGGGATACTGGAAAAACTTAAGAGTACATTTAGAGTACGGGGCCTAGATTTTCGAAAGGTCTCTTAGAGCTAAGATAGTCGTAAGTGCCATACACTAACATTAACTTACGACTATCTTAGCACTAAGAGAGCTTCGAAAATCTAGGCCCAGAATGGAATTTAATGGCGTATTAGTAATCTTGTGTTTCGTTTCATATATGCACCACAGCATTGCTACTCTTGTCTAAACAGGTCAATAAACAATAAAACAATACTTTTTTCAGATAAATGCGTCTGTAAGTGATTTTAAGACTGTACACCATTGCTGTGGTGCGTATCTGCTACGTTTTCTAAATTATTTCCTACTGTATCGTGCATATTTTCTATCTGTACATACGCCAATACGTACAGATATCTGGAGCCCTGTAAATCTATCGCTGTGTCAACACTCTCCTCTTCCACGCTGAGCTTGACCTTGACCCTGTTCACATCATGGAAGCTGTTGCCATCACTGTGGATGGTGGGGCTTTTCACTACTGTGGCTTCCGCTATAGTTCCCCTTGGTCTCACGTTTAAGTTCTTCAACGTGTCTGGGACAGACTCCTCTTCTTGGTCTCCTGCAAACAGGAACTCCTCCTTCCTCGGGTCCTGGTTTTGCTGCACAATACGCTTCCCCTGCATGACCTGTTTATAGGGTCCATTGGGATCAGGGGAGGTGACATTCTGAATCCCTGTCTTCCCTGCTGTCTCAGTCAGAAAAAGTGTTAGAGTAAGTGAATTTACTTCTACTCTGTTTTTAGCAATATTCCAGCAATATTACGACAGGGGACACAAGAAATGGGCTTCACACATTGTATCCATGGGGTAATTGAACCCGGGGCTTCTGTGACACAAGCAAATGCTTTAACCACAAGGCTACCCCACCGCCCCAAAAAGTGTTAGAAGGTAAGCATGAAAATCAAAGAAAATCAATCAATGTTGAAATTACACAAAAGTCACATGGAACTCTGGTGCTGTCTAAAGTTTATCATAACATTAAAGAGATGAAACACACCAAAAAAATTCAAAACAATGGTATGATATGGAATGTCTGTTACAGAAACTGAAAGTTGAAATTGGAACACACCAGGGACAAGGAAAGTTTGTGGACTTTGTATATATCATTTTTAAAGTTCAATCACTTAATGCTAACTGTAACCTAGCCAAAACAATATGTCTCATGAACATGTTTGTCATAGTTTTGTTACCTTGAACAATTTTCTGCTTCAAGGGATAAAAGTTGGAGTTCTGTCCATCTCTATCATCAATCACTTGTTGTGCGATACTTTCATGAAAACCCGGTAATACTGGATCCATTTCCTGAAAAAAATCAAATGACTTTCAGCTAAAGGGGAAGCTCATCATAGTTAAATTAAAATTGTTTCACTTTGTAAAAATAGAACAAGTATACCTAACTGACATAAATCTGCAAAATGAACAAAGATATACAAAAAAAGTAACAATCATGTGACATGTGAGAAGGAAAATAATGTTTTTGCTTACTCATGAAAATATGTAAATTCATGTGTACATTTAAGCTTAATGCTATCAGTGGCTACATGGCTTTTTTATGTGTCTAACGCACAGTGAGGTTAACCTCAGCATGTACAGGGGAATCCCCTCTCACATGATCATAAAGCCATTAACATAAAAACCTTCATTATATCATACCACGACAGGAAATTACTTTTTTAAATATTTACATGGAAACAAAAAAATAAATATCTTCTACAAACAATACTCTAGTCAAATATTTTAAAATCATGTAGTTTTGGAAAATGGGGCGCATTGTGGTAGAATGCCTGACAAACTGTCAAATCAGGCTTTGGTGGAATGGGAGTGGCATGAACATGAAATCAAGCGTTGGCACCAACCAATAATGCACTTAGCTATTCGATGTTAATAAGCACGGACATAATCATGATTAAATCGAAATCACTGCATTTTGTATCATGGCGATTGAATTTGAAGTTGTGCAACACTAGCTTGTCACAGGTTTCACCCAAAAGTCTGTAGAATTATAAAAGTAGAATATAAGGAGGCCCCTTTAAGGACAAAATGTACGAGGAGGAACAAACAGACATTTATCAGCCATTATTAGTTCTGAACAGAAATCAAATCAACAAGTCGCGCTCAACTTCAGGGAAGTATGTACAGCCATTATACAAACCGGGGAATCCCCTATTACAAACACCATCAGTTTAGATCGGTATACATGTTTCCATTTTGCCAATATTCTAGTCGATTCGCGATCTGCTGATATTTATACACATGCTAAAACGTTCTCAGATACTTATGTGACACGTTGGTCTATACAACAATCTTGAACAATTTAGAACAACTCGGCAAAATCGAAAAGTGTGAGCTTTACTTACTGCTCTTCTAGTTTCCTGGTCCATGGTTGCGCAAACGTAGTGATTTGACTGGATGCCTGTCTACAATTGTCAGTGTTTATGCTGAGCTGGGCTCCGTCTCTGATATCGTAAAATAATATGCATAGCTGACGGCGCGCATAAGGAGCCAGGAGCCAGTTTACAAAACCGTTACTATCATCAAAGCGCTTCTCAAAGTGTTAAAGGTCACATGCAACGTAAAACACAACTTTGCAGATTCTGATACCTTTCGGTATGGACTTACCGAAACAAAGCGTCAAAAATGCAAATTCAACTTATAAAGTTGAAAAATAACGCGATGAAAAAAACCGCGCGAAATCGGAGTTCAAACGTTTCACTAATTTTCCCCAGACTTTTCTGGGGAATACGGGTTTCAACAGCTGGGCTGCGCTCATAGCACGTGCGCAGTGAAATAGGTTCGCGCAACTTGGAAGCGGGCTGTCTGGTGAATACTCGGTGAAGGCTTTGGTGTGAGCTACTTTCATAATGTTTTGTTGATATCTCACAGGCGCGAGCTTTCTATATGTTATGACAGTAAATAAACTGTTTATATAATTTCATTTGTCTATTTCACTACACGTTCTTCTTACCGAGTCACTTTCTCAGTTCGATACTTAAAAGCAATGTCATTATTTAGCGTTGACACAATTTCTAACTGTGATATAGATATGTCGCTGTCACAGACAAAACTCAATGTCTTGTTTTATTGACATCTGTGTGTCTACCTGCCTGTCTGCTAATGACAATATTCAATACACAACTGCGATCACTGACCACATGCAATTTGAACTTAACACCAATCAGGCTATACACCATAAACAAAACGCATTGATTTATGGCCCGAGTTCGGTTTCTGTCACATTATGTAATTACACAGACAGGCAGGTGTGATACTTGAACACATGACATTTTATGATGTCTGTTGATTGCAAAATGTTATACACAAAAAATGAGCATGTATTTACAAAACCCAACATCTCTATATATACACACACAATGAGCCGTGAAGGCGGCATCGGCTAATGAACCAGCCGTTACACTTGAGTGCACACCCACCCGCTCTGACTGGGTTCGGTATCCCGGCTGCTTCGTTTCGAGGGAGGTAAACCCAAGTACAAAATATTGCACTTTTGATTTGCGATTATACGCTTATAATTTTGTTTATTTGTTTTTTCATAATCAGCAATGCATATTATATGTCATGAAGAAGTGATAATTGTGTTTTAATTATGTTTGATTTTTTGGTTGCATGTGACCTTTAACCAGTTTAGTAATATAATCGATCAATTTACTGAAATGTCGCCATCACAGTATATAATGAAGTTGTAGCTATAATCTGTGATTTTTATTGTTGTTTAATTCCAATAACGTCTTTCCAACAATTCATCTCCGGATATATTTCCGTAAAATATAGACTGGGCTCATGTCTATTCATGTATTTGATACGCGGAGCTGCATCAACAGTGTAACCAGTTAAACTAGAGGGAGACAACTGCAGGGGCAACTGCAGCATTTTTGTATTCAGTTACTTGCACAGTTAAACTGGTTGGTAATGTTTGGGTTCAAATCCAATATGTATGACTATACCTCTTTTTTTAATTTGTAAAATAACTTAAGAAGAGACAATAACAATAATGGAAACTTTGTTTGAAAAACAAATAAAGAGTCTGTTTGCCAGAATCCAATCAATATGGGAATTACTACTGGGCTTCGTTAGTATGTAACTCTGGTCAGTGGGTTAAAGGTCACATGCAACCCAAAAATCAAACATAATTAAAACACAATTATCACTTACTCATGACATAGAATATACATTGCTGATTATGAAAAAACATATAAACAAAATTATAAGCGTACAATCGCAAATCAAAAGTGCAATATTTTGTACTTGGGTTTACTTCCCAAGAAACGAAGCAGCCGCGATAGTGAACCCAGTCAGAGCGGGTGGGTGTGCACTCAAGTGTAACGGCTGGCTCATTTGCAGATGCCCGCACGGCTCATTGTGTGTGTATATAGAGATGTTGGGTTTTGTAAATACATGCTCATTTTTGGTGTATAACATTTTACAGTCAACAGACATCATAAAATGTCATGTGTTCAAGTATCACACCTGCCTGTCTGTATAATTACATAATGTGACAGAGACCGAACTCGGGCCATAAATCAATGCGTTTTGTTTATGGTGTATAGCCTGATAGGTGTTAAGTTCAAATTGCATGTGGTCAGTGATTGAAATTGTGTATTGAATATTGTCATTAGCAGACAGGCAGGCAGACACATAGGTGTCAATAAAACAAGACATTGAGTTTTGTCAGTGACAACGACATATCTATATCACTGTTAGAAATTCTGTCGACGCTAAATAATGACATTGCTTTTAAGTATCGAACTGAGAAAGTGACTCGGTAAGAAGAACGTGTAGTGAAATAGACAAATGAAATAATATAAACAGTTAAATCGGTAATCTACTGTAATAACATGTAGAAAGGTCGCGCCTGTGAAATATCAACAAAACATTAGAAAAATAGCTCACACCAAAGCCTTCACCGAATATTCACCGGGCAACCCGCTTCCAAGCTCCGCGAACCTATTTCACTGCGCATGTGCTATGTGCGCAGCCCAGCTGTTGAAACCACTTCAATTCCCCCAAGCACTGGGGGAAAGTTATCGTTTGAACTACGATTTCGCGCGGTTTTTTTCATTGCGTTATTTTTCAACTTTATAAGTTGAATTTGCATTTTTGATGATTTGTTTCGGTAAGTCCATACCGAAAGGTATCAGAATCTGCAAAGTTGTGTTTTACGTTGCATGTGACCTTTAAAGGGCCACTGATCCAGAGCGATTAATGTTTCCAGCCAACAGTCTAATTATGAAACCTAGCTGCAAACTGGTCACCCCTTGCTCACCCGACCGTGACGGACACAGGGACTGGGCTACTGTCCACCTTGGCAGAATTTCTTCAACCTAATCAGTGGGACATTAGGAAGGGTGGATGCCCATCAGATGCTGTTACTTGGAAAATACCCCGGTAGTTTGTTGTCTGATTGTAATAAAGTATCCCAGCAGTGTAGGCCTTTTCAGATTTTCAAATGTTTGGATGGTATGGTGACTGATCCGATTTGATCCTACTTCTGTGTTTTTTACCTTGATATTTAATCATGTAAAAATATGATGTCTATTACGTATGCTATGATATCAAAAACACACATTTGATATATTTGAATCCATAAACTAAACAACCCCACTATGCCATTGCAAACAAAAAGGTACATTGGTATATACAGTTTTTAACTAAGTACACAGCAAATGCTTATATATATTTTTTATGTAACAATGAAGTTCCGTTCGTATCCTCAAAACAGTGTTGGCCCATAATTTTGTTTTTCAGGCAATCAAACTTGCATGCAATACAGCGATTACTACTCTCTTGCTGTAACCCTTGTTTGGTGGTGAACCTACACATGTTATTTGTCATCATTCACTTGATGGTCAGTTAATGAATTTATAACATGTATAATTAGTGATAACACCACACAGATTACCCGACAAAGGTTCCCACTTGGCATCTCTTGTGTCTGGAGTAAATACTATCATTAGAAATTGAGGTCTGATGTGGCAAATGTATTACATCTTATTAATAGGCGAATGGAAGTGCAGTAAGAGGAATTATCAGCTGAGTTACAAAACAAACATCGATCAAAGGATTAACCGATAACACGCTGCTTGATTAATTGCTTTTATCCTGCACAGCAGATTTGTCAAAAGGTAGTGTTTATGTTTGTAGATTCACTCATCTATACTGAATACACCCTGTCGTAAAGTCTCATTGTAAAAACAACGTCCTTCTTTCAAAGGATTAACCGCCAATACATTGATTGATTGCTCATTATTGGCTAACTAAATTACTTTTTAAAGAATGGCGGACATCCTGCAATTAGTTGCCAGGTGTGCTATCTTGGGTGACCAATGGGACTATGCACCAATGTGAAAAACCTGAAACTATAGATCACTTTTTCGCATATTAGACTGTTAAAAGACACATGACATGGAATAGGATACTTTGTCAGCTGCAGATGCATGGCATCTCATTCCTTTATGTGGATATTAATGGATACATTCCCCGAACAAGGTAATGGCCTGATATTGTTGCTATAACTTTGGTCTGTTTTAATTTTAATATTTGCATTTTGTTTTTATTT